TTCCATTTGGCCCCCCTTCCCGGCGCCTCTGCCGCTCATGCTGCGCTTTGTGGGGCAAGGTGAGCGTCATCCTGTGGCATGGTTTGTCCTGCTCCTTTCTCGTGGTCACTCAGTCGCCACCGCCAACGAAACGTCAGCAGACTGGGAGAAAACAGCAATGCCATCGACTTTCTAAATACTTTGTCTCCTGGGCTACTGAAAAATTAAGAACCCAGTCGAAAGCCCCATCAAATTAATCATTAAACATTAATCCTTCAAAAAAGTAGAGAGAATAAGATACATTTCTAGGTATAATAATAAAAATATAATATTTCCTTCTTCTTCTTTATGGGTTAATAATTATTATAAAGGTTGTATTTAAAAAAAAATGTTAAGGATCTAAAAATTAAAAGAAGCACTCAGATCTATTTGAAATGGATAATATTTTGGTAAATAATTTTTGGTAGCTAATTTCTTTCAGTGTACCGGGCACAGTGACTGCCACATATACGTCCAAAATAGTTGTAGTTGGTCCTTGCCACACCGCAACACACACACACACACTCACACAGCCAGCGAAACTCCTCTCGTTTTTCATGTGTTGCAAGGTGCAAAAGGGCTGGAATGGGGAAAATTGTGGAAAATGGTGGAAAACAGGGGCCATGGCATGTGGCAAGTGTGTCAGCCGAGGAGGGTGCCTGAAACTAGGGGGGGGGGGGGGGCGGTCATATTGAGGGGCGTGGCGACATTCCATTTATTATAAATAGGCGAGTGCTGAGAGGCTTGACTTTCCGTTCCTATTTTGCCTCCTTTTTGGCTCGTGACGTCAGTGGGCGATTTCCGATTGGTCCTCAAATTGACGGCACTCAGTACAGTGCGTTTCACAAGTGTTTGTTCGCCAGGCGGGGATCGTTCAGTTGTGCAGATTGGCCTAGGTGGCACCTCCTAGTCTTCTTTAGAAATAAATAGATTTCGGTTTAGCAACTCAAAGTGTTTCAATATTTTAAAAAATTATCAAAAATTTATGATAAAGAAGTGACTAAAGGAAATTTTTTATGTGTATTGTAGAGAAGTATAATTGGAGGTTTGTTCCATAAAAATAAATAATGAATCACCTACCTTAATAAAGTCAAATCTAAAAGTATGCTGTAAAAAGGGAACATCATGCTACGGTGGGTAATCATAGTACATTGTTGCATACTTTTGGACACCTAAAGTAAAGTAAAGTAAATAAAGAAAATAAATTGGGCGATTTCATAGAAATAACTCTGGATTTTAGGTCACTTGCTAAGGTGTCTAAAAGTATGCAGTAGAAAATCTATTATTGCATACTTTTAGACACCTAAAGTACATTTATAGAGATCTTAATTAATAATATTATAATTAGGGTTTGTTTATCGTTAAGTTCGCCCAATTTAACAAATTTCAAGTTTTTTAAATACGCTAAACCCTCTCGGAAATCTCAAATTTGTGCTATTGATGGCCGCAAAACTTGCATCATAATCCTCTGTTCATTAGCTCTTCAAAAAAAGAACCCTCTACTGCGTATCAGCTATGAATTTGCGTCCAATATGCCTGTGGCAAACACGGAGCAGCAAGTTGCAGTTAATTATATGCATTGTAGGGACTGAAAGCAGCAGCTGGAGCGGAGCAGGAGCTACCAGGACAGGATAAGCCAGCCAATGAAGGGTGTAAAACGAGGAGGATGTCGGTGGGGGCCCGGCATTGTTGGGAAAGTTTATGCCAGTTACCAGTTGCCAGTCAGCCAACGAGATCCATCTACTGACCTCCCTCTGCTCCTGCGGCTCCTTCTGCTCCTCCAACTGGGCCACTGGGCCAGCTCCTCCTGCTCCCTTTTGCTCCTGGGCCACGCATTAAAGCCGGAAAATTCATAAATGCCTGAGAGCGCTCCTCGCTTACACTGAAGTGTTCCTTTCGCCCTCTAATAAGCACTTACGGCAGCAGCAACATTGGCAACATCCATAGTCCGTAGTCCATAGTCCATAGTCCGTAGCCCAACAACAAGGACCTGGCGACCAGGACAAAGGGAAGCTGTCGTTGCCGTTGCTTGAATTTTAATGAAATTAAAGATTACTGAGCTCAGCTAGCAGCCCTGCAGGAGCAGGAACAGTCAGAGTACAGAGGCGTTGTGTCAAAAGGGGGATCGGGATACATGTGCAGAGTCACTGGAAATTCGGATGTCTACTATATATTTCCACTGTGCAACAGTTGGGGAGCTCGCTTTTGCTAAATAACTTTTGGGGGAGGAACTTTTCCGGGGGGGGGCCAGGAAATCTTGACTCGGTGAAAAATTGAATATGAAATGCTTTCACGACGAAAAACCCCCACAATAATTGCAATTCTGTCCATTTGGTTGGGGGTAATTTTACACAGTTTAGAGGTAATTTCAAAAAGGGAATTAAGGTAAATTGCAAAAACTTGTATTGCAAAAAGGGGGGTTTCGTTATCTAGAGGGTTTTAAGAAAATACCTTTGGTGGGGCATTCACTTGGAAATGTAGAATCAGTTTTCTGATTTATAAAATATGTAAGTGTTTAAAGGTAATTTTAGAAAGAAAATTATAGCAAGTCGGAAAAGCGTGTATTGTAATTGGGGTGCTCGTATATCAAGTGCATATTTTCATAGGGATAAGATGGGCTATGGCTATTTTATAAATTGCTAACATTTAAAATTCTTAATTTAAACAAAGATTATTATTATTACCAATATCTATGAGAAATCTATGAAAATACGGAAGTGCTCCTATTAAGTCTAGGCCTGATTAAACTACACAGGAAAAACTGATGGGATATGATCATAATTTTGATGAGAATACTATCAATTCTATCTAGATATGGGGGGGTATCATTTTGATATGTTCGCCAACTTGCCTTTTGCTCTCTTTTTCCATTAATAAGAGTTTCGAAAGAAATTTAATGCGCTTTATGCTTTTTTTCTCTCATTTGAAAATTAGAAGCAATTTTTAAGGAAGAAAATCAAAGAAATCCTATCCCTTAATACCAAACTTTACATTATCTTATGGTAAAAATAGTTCCTGGTGAAATTACCATGCGACTATTGAGTGTTTTTCTTTCTGTGTAGCAAATTCCGGCACTCTGATGTATACTCAACCTTTAAATGCAAACATCTTGTTGCCATGGCCTGTCTAATGATTGCATCCTTGCGAAGCGACTCCTTGTGTCTTGGTTCGCCTGATTCCAGCTATTCATAATCCTCATGTTTCAGCTCCGGCCTCCTCAGACACACCCCGTCCTGCTGCCAATTTAACTCGGCTCTCAATCCGATCCTAATGAGTCTGTTCCTGCCTGTCATGGGTTTCAGCCCTGCTCCTGGGATCCCTGGAACCACCTCCGCATCCTTCGTTTCGGTGAACTTCCTGCACTTTGTAATTAGTGCGTGTTGGACAAGTGAATCAACTTTGCTCGACAGCCAACTTTGTTCGGCTGTCTTCTTTAATTAGTCAATTTGTTGCTGCACTTCGGTTATTCCTGGGATTTTATTGCGGCCTTATTTCGCTGGCCTGGCTGATAATTGGCTAATCGAGTTGCGTAATTGAGGCAGCCAGTTGATGGCAGGTCGACTGCTCATTAGGGTGCACTTAATGGGGATTGGTTCTGACTTTGGCTCAGAAGAGTTATGTGCGAATTATGCCACTTATCGGGGAACAAGATTTCAAATGGCATTGTCTGCATGCGAAGGAGATAAGCCGAAACAAAGCCAGTATTGCGCATACGCCCGGTTGTCTGTTCGAACATCATAATTAATTGCGAAACTTGTGCAAATATTGCACAACTTCTGCTCGACTGGGCAAATCAATGAAATGGGCAAACGGGGGTGGCTTTCCCATTGCGTATACTTAATGTTACCAAATTTAAATTGCATAAACTGCATTATTAATGCCACTTGACAGCAAATTTGCATGTGGCATGTGTGCAGGCCACAAGTAGAAAGAGCACCCTTGAACACACACATTGTTGAGTTTAATTGATTTAACGATAAATGCCTTACATGCCTCAATTAATTTCATGAATTAAGAACTGTCATTAGTTTGTCATCGAACTATGTATTTTTGGTGCCAATTATCAAACCAAATAATTCCATATTGTTTGGGTTATAATCTTCTACTGTCCCCATGTAATTGAGTCTTAAAGCTTCTGCACCATTTCGATTGGGTTTTAATTAGTTAAAATACTGGACTTTAATTTGCGGTTTCAGTATCGAGATGTGAAATCGTCTGCTAAATGTATATGCAATTTATTGTGGCATCTTCTCGGTTTCGAGTTGCAATGTGAAAGAGCTGGGGATTAAACGAGCTTAAGCCCACTCAAAGTGCAATGTAGTCAAATTCAAAGCGAGTGTATGTATCCCATTCAATTTGTCTCTTATTTTATATCTGGCAAATGTTTTCAATAAAAGCCAAGGTTTTTTGTGTAATTTGCAAGTTAGCCAGCTGCTCCGGTGTGCCAGCAAAAACTGTCATTTATCTTGGCAGAGGTATCTTTATTCAGCTTTTCTGAGTTCTAATTGTATGTTGCATATTTTTTCAAATTTTTGTGTTAGTATAATAGAACTGATTTACAATTTCTGGCATTTGTGAGCGGATTAAAATGTATTTGGTGCCTCAAAGAAATACTTTATTTCTATACAGCCTTACTTAGAAATTGGAAATTATCTTGATACATGTAAAGAAATATTATAGCTTGGCACAGCAATCGCTAGCCCTTTTAAATTTTATTTCGTGTGCCTAAAAGTATGCAGTGATTGAAGTATAGTCGTCTTTTAGAACAAATTCATTGTACTTGCGAGTATAAAATATATTGTTGCCTACTTTTAGGCACCTAAAATGACATTTAAAAATGATTTAAAAATCCTGGTGATTTCTTTTGCAGCCCTGATGGAATGGGTTTCCTTTTATATTTGATATAGAGTAGGGTTTTAATACATACCCATATAATTGATATATAAACTAATGACCTTTATCCTTTTTTCTTTTCCCCACAGTGCCATATGCAACCGATAAGACTGTGTGAATGGTCAAGTGGTCATCAGCATCGAAGCGATTCTCTCTTCCCGCATGTGTGTTAGTGAGTGAGTGAGTGTGTGTGTGCGAGAGAGTGGGAGAAAGTGAGTGAGTGAGCGAGCGAGAGTGAGAGAGAGTGAGACAGCATCAGAATGACGGACGCTCGGGGAAGCGGATTCCCCGCTGCGGAATTCGAATGAGCCAGATCCAAGACTATTTAAGATTGGATTTGGACCCGGATCGATCCCCATTCAATAATATCCCGCGTTATCCAGGAGCCAGGATATAGAAGTCAGGAATCAGGAGCCAGGAACCAGGAACCGGAAGCACCTCCGCCGGCCATCTATCCATCAGCTGACAACTGTCAGCCGTCAGCAACTGTCAGTTGTCAGAGCAACTCTGCGTCCAGGAGGCCAGCTGTCAGCGGAAGTGAGAGTGGAACTGGGAGTGGAAGGACACCGGGGCCAGCAAAACGGGACAACAGGAGCAGCAGGAGCAGGAGCAGGAGCAGGCGAGGATTGGGCAGCGCGGCGCGTAGCGTGTAGGCGGCAAAATGCCTGGCGGACGACGTGGACTGGTTGCGCCGCAGAACACATTCCTCGAGAACATCATCCGGCGCTCCAACTCGCAGCGTGAGTATTCCAAACATCTCCATCTCTCGAATTCCCGGGGGCATGTACTTTCTTGGCGGGGGAACACAATGTAAAGGAGTTATTTTCTAAGAATTCTATGAAATTATGACCGAAATGCAAAAATATATCTAACAAAGAAATTAATAAGGTTCAAAAGCATTTTTGAAGGTGTCTAAAAGTATGCAGTAAAAGAAAGAAAGTCTTAATTCCGAATAAATCCATCGGATATTCAGATTTAACATTTTTTGTTGCATACTTTTAGACACCACAATGAGTATTTTTATGATCCTATTGATAGGGATAAATAGCCAAATATTATTTTATTTTAATATTATTTTATTTAGTTATTTAGGTAAAGTCTTTAAAAAGTATTTCTTGGTGATGCCAATTAATCAACATTTCTAAAACACTATATGAACTATATTTCCACAATTTTTATATGGTTAACCATTTTATTTCAAAGGACAGGACTTCCTTTATTCGTTGTTAACATTTTTCCTGGATTAAGATTAGTTATTGATGCAAGAAGCAGCAAGGTTAACCAAAAGGTCAACTCATACGCCATCAGAGAACCAGACATTGCCACTGAGCATTCGCAAGGACCTTTAACAGAAATCGCCACATTTCGTTGCATCGCACATTCGATTCTCCGCCTGCAATCGGCATTTTACGCATGCCACACAATTATCGGTTGGCAGTGGGCAAAGGGGCAACCTTTTGGGGCTGCAAAAGTGCGAGAGTGTGAAATGAATTTTCCGTTAAGTTGTCAACGTGAACAGGATGCTGCTCGTGTGAGTCTGTGTGTGATGGGGGAAAATGGGGAAAATGTGAAAATGGGAAGAGGGGAAAAAGGGAAATGAGCTATAAATAGAGCACTCGTACTCGAGAGCAATGGCACACACGCACGTGTGACCGAGAAATGTCCGATTCAGTGAAATTGAATTGTTTCACTGTGGCGACTGGAAAATTCAAGGGGAAAGTGCGAGGGAAAGTTGCGGTGAAGAGTGGGCGAAAGTCCGGAAGGTGCTTGGCAATTTGAGACCGAGAGCCGGCACTGAAATCCCTTTTTGGCCTGCGGTCAATGGCAACACTTTCAATTAGGGAGGGCCAATCGGGGGCTTGGGTTGGGTTTGCTGCATGGAAATGGAAGTGCAGCCCACTGAGAACTCCGACTTAGCTCGGATTTCCAGTTGGTCAACAAGGGACTCAGCTGCAGTCGAATGGGAATAGCTTCTGTTAGCAGCCATCACATCAGCAACAGCATCAGTCGCATAAATCCCTAAATGGCCCCCCGGCCAAACAGTTGTTGTCGCAGCAACTTGAGGTTCCATTTGCCATTTGGCATGTTGCAAAGTGGCAAAGTAGCAAAGTATCGAAGTGGCAGTGGCAACAACGGCCATCAAGGGCAACACATGCAGCCATAAACAACATGAGATAATTAACAAACCCTCCCCTTTCTCCTCCTGCCCAGCTCATTAGGGAATGGCTTCCGGGTGGAGAAAGGGGCGCAGGATCAGAGGAGTGACATAAATGGACGCACAATTGATGCACTCCATTGCCAAGCGAGCATGTGACTGACGCAATGCAAATGGCCCAAAAGTATTCCGGACCATTGTTGTTAATCATGGCCAGAGGAAGTCCTGCAAAGCGGCTCCACTGACGGAATGAAAGTGCCAAATGGCACAATGAAACAGTAATCCCACATGGAGATCGAATAAAAAGGAAATGCACCAGCGATTTGGATAGAGCTCCTTTAAAAAAACCCTTATACTAAGAAAAATATACCGATAAAGAATAGAATAATACATTAGATATCTGCATAATACATTCAAAAACGTTTTATTAAATATTTAAATTTTATAAAAAAAAACCGTAAAATCAATTCAAAACATATTAAATTGTATGATTTCATTTGAAAAAATTTAAATCAAGGTGGAAAATATTAGATACAGTGTTATCATATTTATTTTCGTACTAAAATTTAACTTTAAAGTATTTAAATTAACTATAATTGAGAATCAATTGAATATTTCATATTTTCAAAAATATTCAGATTAAATATAATATCTTTGGACTTACTACGTTCTTTTATCAGTGTACCAAATACTTGGTCTTACAAATTACAATTTTATTTGAATCAACCTGATATTAAGCTGCAGTCATAAAGAACCAGTAGAACACACAAAACTCAGTTAAAATCAACTTCATTTTGAGTCTATTTTGCCATACTCAACTGGGTCACAAAATAGCCATATTTTAAGCCTACTATCGACCCAATTAGGAAAAATAAGCTCAAATATTATTGAGGCTTCTTTCAATTTCGAATCGAAGAGAGGCGACGGATACTTGCCACTTCAGCTTCGATTCCCATCCGGGCAAAGGAGCCATCAATATATCTAGGTAGGCCTTTTCCGCTTTTTTTCCCAACTAGGCATAGTTTTCCATATACATTTTCCCGCCCGGCAAATGTCGAAAGCGGATTACCGAGGAGACGCAAAGCCTTTTCCAAAAGGATTTCGTTTCGTTGGCAGCACAAGTGAGGAGAAAAGTAAAACGGCTTTAGGCCGCCGAGAAGGAAAAGGAAAACTCTGACCTGAAACGGACAGATACAGCTACAGATACAGATACAAATGCGAATACAGATACAGATACGTAAACTGGAAATGCCATAAAGGAAATGCACGCAGGGGCGGGGAAAGGGGGGCACTCCGTAAGTACGGCATATTAAGGCGGGAATGCAAATGGCTGAGGGAAATGGGTCGTCAGGTGAAGCAATAGATTCTAATGTGATTTCCATGCCAAACACAAATAAAAACGGGCGCAGATTGAAGTTGAAGTGTAGGTGAATATATGGTATTGGGGGGTTTTATAAGGAAAGCGGACCAGGAAAGTGGAGAGCAAGACCCAGAAAATGCGTGCCCATATTTGAATGTCTGCACGGTACGTCTGTCTATGGCACTTAACCCTCTTTCTTGGCCCTTGACTCTGTCCCAGTTTTTTGTTGATTTATTTCGAATTCAATATATCGATAGAAGCTTATTAAGGCAATTTGTTTTTTACCCAATTCTGAGTCTATGTATCCTTTTAACTCAGCAAGGGCTCAGCAAAGAACTGAATATTATATTAGATTAGGTTTATATTTAATTATTATTTTTAACTGATAAAATGTGGCTGGAAAATGGTTTTTGTTTAGAAAACGACTTCACAAATCCATAGGACCTTACTATCACTATTAAATATAATTGAAGGTGTCTAAAATTATTCTGTGAATAATCAATAGCCTTCTTACTGAATAAATTTATGGTTCTACTGAGTTTAAAAAATATCATTGCATACTTTTAGACACCTAAAATGACATTTAAAAGATATTACAAAGCCCTATTGATTTTTGCGGGATTAAAACGAAACTTTTAGAAAACAGTGTCGAAAAGTGAACTGGAATTGTAAATTAAATGGTATAAAAAGAAACATTGTATACAAATTAAGCCTAGAAAGGTATTTAAAAGTAGTGAGAAACGAACACTTTGCCAGATTGATTTCAAGGGGAAGCTTTGTGATACTTCCGCTGGCGCTAAAAACCATCCTCATTACAATATTTCACAGCCAGCGATCCCCTAATTCCCCTCCCCAAAGAAATCCATCAACCCGAGTAAATGGGTTGGAAAATGTAAGGAGGATAAATGGTGAAGGGGGATAAGGTGGATGGCCCCCCATTCCGTGGTGTTTGTTTGGGCTGCGAATCTTCCGCCACGTCGGCGATAAACTGACCAAAGACACTGCCAAAAAGAGCAACTGGCTTAGGCAGATTTTTTAATTAGTTGACTTTATGCCTCACGCTTCCGGGACAGTACCAACCCCTTTCCCTTCCATTTGCAACCCCTTTGGCGGCCTGTTCGATTTGTCCCCAAGTTGCAAATAGGCAAAAACTCGTGTGTTTGTCCTTGTTTGGCAACAAACTCATTAAAATTGAACGCAAAGCCCCCCTGCAAAGAGAAAGGCACACATACACACACACACTCGTGGTGGATGGGGGGGCCCAAAACCAAAATCCACAAAAATCCCGACTAGTCCGATGGCAAGCATTTTTCAGTGGTTTATCTGCGGGCTGGAAAAGTGGCTGGTGGATGGAGGTGTGCAAAAAGAGACAAACAACTTTGCCCTTGTTTTTCTTTTCCATTTTTTTTTTCCTTCCCTCTGTTTGCCTTTTTTGGGTTTGTCACTTTTGCGGTTTGCCTCGCACGTTTATCTCGAGTGCACATTGCTCTCTCGTTCCCCGCCCATTCGGCATGGCCTTTGCCCCCCAGGAGGTCGCAGCTCGACACTTGGCGCGGCTGTTTGATCTTCGTGAGCAAGCCAAACAACATTAGCAACAACAACAGCGATGGGAGCAGCAGCAAAAAGTGGACAAAGTGGCCAAGAGACATGGCAAGGAGATCCGCCCCAAAGCTGTCTCACTTCTCCTCACTTACTTTGCGTACACCCCAAGAAATATCTGAGAAATCGAGCAACGCTTCTAGATATGATCATGTTAGATAAACTTTTTAAAAATGAATTAGTAACTGATACTCGTTTCGAAGGAATACGATATATCGATAACCTCGCTCGCTTTTTTCGAAAAATACCATTTTTCATTAGCAATTTAACATTTTTCAATAGTATAAATAATAGGTTTACGATCTGTCCCAAAGCTGTCTCACTTCTCCTCAACGACTTCGAGTACAACTCAAGAAAAATCTCAGAAATAGATCTACTTTTCTATATTTGATCATAATGAGATGATTTTTCAATGAAATTCGATATTTTGATTCGCTTTTATCGAAAAAATACCGTTTTTCACTATCAATTTAACATTTTTTAATGGTATGTCATTTCGATGTCAATTTCTATAATGAAAGTTACAAGCTGATTATAAGATTGCCATTTTCTCTCAGTGCATCCATTTTCGTGAATGTTTTGCCTGCCTGTTGACAATTGATTACGCATACGCCTTGTGGCTCACA